TGATAGCGAAGAAGCCCTCAAAAACGGTACCACGGAAAGACTTCCTGTCTTCACGCGGCACGGCTCTCATAGTGGTTCAGAACTCATGTAGGAGAAGATGCCATTTAACGTAGAATTTCGACCTATTCTTTCTTGCGCTGGCCGAGCCGAGATGCTTGCCTTGCTATATGCATCATATACGTGAACACTGTCAGCCTCTTACCAGTTGCCCTCAGATTTTGGTGCATCTTCGATCCAAACACCGGCCCATTGTCCCTCTATCCTTGGCTCTAGAGGTCGGTGCCCGTTCGGAAGCATTCTGTCATTGTCGTGGTAGTAGCCTTTTCCGTAGCGAGCTGGGACGGGAAACTTCACAGCATCATCATAAAGAACCGGGGATGAGAGAGGAGTCTTCCGTCGATCGATATAGCAGTGGCAATAACTATTCAATGGATTGGCCTCCAGGCTCGTCCACGTGTAAGCGGGTGACGCCTTGAAGTTTGCAAAGCGCATGCTGACAAATGGCATTGTATCGGATGAATAAAGGCCATTGAATTTGCTGTCTGAAGTGCAGTGCGCCAGGTCACTCGACTGGCGGGCCAGCTGCGCGAGTCCTGCTTGGAGCTCTTCTTGTCTTGTCTAAGTAGCGCTCACCGACATGCGGCGGTCCATACAATTATGGGGTTTGTTGATGTACTTGTTTTGGTCCACTTCTTGTTGCAGATAGCTGAGATGAAGTTGGACCAGCTTCTCCATACTTCTAAGCTCAGTGAAGACGTTCGACCAAGAATCTTGACAACTGTCGAGACCACCACCTGGAGTTGGACCCTGCTAAAGTCCTAGCGCTCTTGAATGCCTTCTTTACGGAGCAGCGGACTAGCGAGATCTTGGTCAACTGTTCGCGAAAGTTATTGAACAAGCCCACAAATGCTGACGATTTCGCCCAAGGGCTTTCGAGCGCGATATGATTCAGATGTGGTAAATGCAGCTGTCCTAGATGAATCGTGTGTACAGGGCTCGATGTTGGCAGCTGCGAATCATTTACATAGCGGACTCGCAAGAACCGTATAGGGCAGACTCTACGAGATGTTTTACTTTTATGGAAGTGAGATCATCATCGCGCGGACCTAGAACTAGTCGCAAAGAAGTCACGTGGTCTGAGCCGTACTCGCTCTCGTTCCAGAGATAAAAGTCTGATCTCTCAGTCAGCATGTTAAGGTCCTTTTGGTCAAGAGACACGCCTAACTGGACATTTCTGCTATTGGTCTCCATTCTCTGGATAGCTTCCTCAAAAGTCCAGTAGACAACTGGTAGGGGTTTGGCAACGATAGTGCCAAAACAGTGGCCGGAAGGGCATTCGAATGCATGGAGGTCGCTTGCACCCCAACTCGATCGAATGCATTGGACGTCCAGCAGAAATTGATGCCCGACGATAATCACCTCTAGGTTTGGTAGCTTCTTCAGTGCAAGAGCTATCGTACCGATATCACATTTCGTTCGCTCTACCAGAAGTTGTTCATACTCATCAGCTTGTATACGTGATGCTGACCGATGCGGTGTACGGCCTTGTCGGTAATGCCCATCGTGGAGAGGATCGAGGAGACCCACATCTTCCGTCCCGAAGCCCACGTGTCGAATGAACTGTACAAGGTGTGGTGTGTATGAGATATCTACTAGAGCCTGCACGGTATTTGGGTAGATGCAGAACTTGACTGTGCAGAAGAGCCGGTCGCCGTAGATGTGATACGATTTCGTGCGTATGCCTCGTGTTGTCGCGGCGAAAGCTATGAGCGTTGTGTCGTCCACGTTGCGAGCAATTTGAGCGATGAGCTCGGGAGGGAGGACTTGGAGACGACTGGTCTGGTGGGTCATTGGATGAGACATTTTCGACTCGATGGCTTCCATAGGGTGAATGGGGCTGCAGCTTCGGGTTGACTGACAGAATCTTGCGGTAGAAGCAGAGGCGATTCCGTAGCGCCTCGAAGTTATATATCGAGCGGAGTCTGAGAACTTTTTGCAGCTGATGTCGCGAGCTTGAGCCACAAGCGCGTGAGAGTGTGTAGTCCGTTTGCACAGATAACGCCATCAACTTGCTCGTCTCTCTTCATAACAAGACACGTCACCGACTCATCTCCGCGTGAAATCTGCTGTTATGTTTGGATCGCGCCGTTGCTTGCGTGGTCGCCCGTGCCATGACAACCGCACCGCGCACAAGTCTTTTCGTGAAGGCCTTCGCGACACTGGCGAATTTCACACTCTTTCCCGCACTATCCACGCTCTTATAAATTGGCATCTCAAAAAAAATTTTATCAGCGCGCAACCACAAATGTCGACCTCTCCATCAACTTCCCGCTCAACTTCGAATTGTTCGACCAGCCCGACTTTTCCACAATCTGCCAGCATGGGCGTCTACGTTCCAAGCCCGCAGAAGCGCGGCAACCAAACTCCCAGCAAACTCTCCTCTATGTCGCGAAGCAGGTCCGCAATCATTGTGCCTATGGGTTATGCGACTCAAATGCGAGCCATGCAAGACCACCAATGCAAGCAGGAAGATCGCATCGCCGCCTTGGAGAAGGAGAACGCGGAGCTGAAGTCGTTCAAGGAGAACCACAAAGATATGGCTGATCGTGTCCACGCGCTCGAACAACACGACCGCAACTTGGCTGCCCGTCGCCGCGAGTGCGTCAGCCAGCTCCTCAACCTGCGCACCATGAACCAAGAGGCCAGCAACGCGTTCGATCTGCGAGCACAAGACATCCAGCCCGACGACCTCGAGGGCGTCCTCATGGCGTATGCGACATCGATCACATCGGTATTGAATCACCACCAGCGCGTGTTCGGCCAGATGAGGGCAAACGGACAGTTGCCGACACACACCATGGCGCCACCATCGATTCCTGTCGCGCAGGTTTTACAAGCTGCTCCTATCATGCAGACCGCGCTGCCTCATTTCCCATATCCACCCGCATACACTCCCCACGGTTGGTGTCGCGCACATAATGCGCCGTATCGATGCCGCATTTGTGGGTGGTGAGTGGAGAACTGTATGTGGTCAGTCAGCGTGAGTATATTCGAGAGCGCTTTGGTACATTTCTTCCCTGTTTCGACGATCTTTGAAGTTCACTTTCGGCCGCTTTTGGAGGCTCTCAAGCGATATGTGGCCATTTCTTCATTTTCAGACCATCCCACGAGCGGATTCTTTTGGGAGTCGTGCGTTGAATGCTGGTATCGGCATGTCTTGAGTTCGACGTCAGGTGAAGGAAGGATCATTTTGTTTTGTTACTTCCTGGATTTATCGAAGTGTATAGGCGTTTCGATTTTTCACTCTGGCACTTTCAGTAATGTGCAAGTATAGCACACAGTATGCTACGGCCCTGCGATGAAGACGTCGCGAAGGCGGCGTTGTAATGAATAAAGTTCGTTCTTTCCCAATGCTATTACTGAGGCCCAACGAGGCTGCCATTGTCCATGCTCACGTTCACCGTGTCGGCGACGTTCGGAGGCGTCTTTTCAACATGTTCTGATCAGAGAGCACTGGACTTCGAAGAAAGAAATAAGCTGTCGCACAGTCATGTAAGCCTCCGCTGTGTATGCAAAAGCTAAAACTGTGCACACGTATATTTGAAGAGTGATGGAGTGACGGTTTAGGGAAGAGTGACGACGCGACGTGTCCAAGCTTATACCCTAGCGCACTTCGCAGCTGGACGTCGAACCCCTGACTCCATTGTGCACATTTGCGAAGTCGTTCTGAGATACTCCCTACCGTAGATATGGGAGAGAGCTTTTGAGCGACTTGATCGTCGTGTCAGATCTGACGTCGCTGGGCGTATCGCGGGGATCCCGGAGCTTTCTGATGATTAACCACATGGCCAAGCTAAGCAGAGATGAAATGCAGCAAATCAATGATTACAATATACATAACCTTGTTTATGTGTACAGGATACTTGCTTCGATGTCTTGAGCACAGTCAGATCTGATCAGCACAATAGTCACACAACATGACAACTACTAACCTCTAGTATAAAGGCACTTCTATGTCATGCCCATGTCTTTGGACACGCGGAAAAACATATTTCAAGCACCGAGATTAATCTTACTTCACCACGGAAAATACCACTCCAGTCCAACGAAAAAAACTTAATCTAAGATGTCCTCACACATCAACATCCTACCTTGGACCTCTCCCCTATCCACCAACCCCAGCTCAACCCCCAAGCCCCCAGCCTATCTCTCCTCCACCCTAATCGGCACCTGGTCCCTACAATCCTACAATTACCACCCCTTATCCTCCCCAACCACCAAACACCACCCCCTCAGCTCCAACGCGCAAGGCTCCATCGTATACTCGCCCGACGGGTACATGTCCGCGTCAGTCGTGCGACCAGGTCAACCACACTTTTCCGATGGCGGCGGTCTGGCACCTGACACTTCTGGCACGCTGGAGGACTGGGAATTGGTTGGGCGAAACTTTATTGCATATTCGGGGCGGTATTGGGTTGCTGATGATGAGGAGACAGGGAGGGAAGTGGTGTGGCATGAGATGAGTGTGTGTAGTTTGCCGAGCTTGAGGGGTGTGGTAGCGAAGAGGAGTGCGAGGTTGGAGGAAGTTGATGGGGTGAAAGTGCTGACGTTGGGAGTTGAAGGGGTGGAGTTGGGTGGGGAGGAATGTGAGGTTGAAGTGGTGTGGAGGAGATGTGAGGATAATGCTGGGACGAAGATGCCAGGAGCTTGATATCGTATTGCAGACTCGTTCGCTTTGTCCGTGCACGACGAATATGACTTGAAGTCATCCACGACGGAAGTTACCTGTTAATTAGCATATGGTGCACGATCCAGCTACGCTCTTCGCGAACATCGAGAGGTGCTGTCCGTAACGTCCCGTCAAGTAGACCTTCTTAGACTAGGACTGCTACGAGCCCGCATCTCTCAGTTTTTGATCCCATGCGGTCAAGGCTAAAAGGAAGTCGACCTACGATGTACAAATATCACTTAGGCTTCGAGCTGAACATTGAAATCTCGAGGGACAGGTGGTTCAGTGGTAAGACGCTCGCACTACAACTAGTCGACAAGCGGTGTAAACAGCAGTGCACTGCAGTGTACGCCGCGTAAGACTAATTGATCTGCGAGAGACCCGCGTTCGACCCGCGGTGTGTACGTCCTTTTTGCTCGAACATCTCAACCATTTGAGAACATAAGCATGGCAGTAGGGCATACGGTGGTGAGTTTGTGGAGGTTCGGCGATATACTATTAAGACGTACATAAGACGAGTGAGAGTTTGAAACCATACAGCATCCATTCTTTCGGCTTCATACGGAGGCAGAGGTCGAAGTACACCAGACCTAGTTGGTAAAGTGAGGAACGGCCCCACGAGGCTGGCGCAGAGGTTATTGTGGTAGAAAGAAACGATACGATTTGAAATTGGGTATACTAGACTATCAACAGATAACACCAAATAAGAAACACCAAATGTCCATGCAAAGACTCTCACCAATTCCATGTCCTGCTCGCTGCAGAAAATACTGGTGGCTTCCAGATGAGCCGATCTGGGTCGATCGTCCTCTTGCCTTTCAACTTTTCTTTCTGCTTTTGCCGCTCCCTCTGTGCAATGACCGCGTCTGTGAGCACCACGACGTGCTGATTCTTGCTATATCTCAACATGTTCAGGTTTTGTAGGGTGTGAAGCACATCGTTCGTCGTCATTGCAGTTGCCGCGCCGAGATCTTCGATGTTTGCTTCGACCTTGCCAGGTTCCATGAGCAAGTCAACAAGGATTTCTTGCCAGTAAGCACGGTAGCCCAGCAGACCTAGATCGGAAAGCGGCTTTTCAGGCGAACCAAGTTTGCCTTCGCGTTTTGAGAGGAGGTACGAGAAGTCTATCAGCAGTTTACCGAAGCCCTTGCGCTGATATTGTGGAAGCGTGAGGATACAGGCGACGTTGTAGCCTTCTGCTGACTCCTTCTCTTTCGAGAAATACCCCACGAAGTGACAGCCATGTTCATCGCGCGTGCACATGCAGTAGAATAAGAAGGGATCTACATCGTAGTACAGCGTCTTGTGGTCCAGGAACAGTTTCGACAGCAAACACAGGTTGCGACACCATGTTCGTTGTCGCCGTCCATCGATCTCGAAAAAGGATACGTAGTCGTCGCGGTAGATTTCGTTGCCTGGGGGATGCAGGAGCGTGCACTTAGTCCGGTGTCGCTCAAACTGGGTGACCTCGCCGAAGTATGACAGGCAGAACTCGCAGATGTAGACTACATCGGAGTCTACAAAGTCGATCGGGTAAGGTGAGAAGTACCAAGGTTCAACCTCAAACTTGCCCATCTGTATCGTCTCCAAATTTCGCACTCGTGAGATTTCAGTCTGATTTTGAGTCATCGATCCTGAGGTACGTAGCTTCTCAATTTCATCTTCCCGGGAGTACTCATGTTCTGGCATTGCTTTCGCTGCGGCCGCGGCATCCTGCACGTCCACAAGGTCCATCTCCTCATCTTCGGGCTTTGGCGTACCTTCTGTCACCTCGCTCGTGATCAGAAGTTCCTGGTTCTCTTTCCCGCCAGCTTTCGAAGGTCGCTGAGCTTTGCTTGGAATGTTGCTAGACGTTGATTCTGGTGTGCCTGAAATCTCGCGGTCTAGCTTGCTGCGAGAGCGCTTCAGATGCTTCTGATCATTCTTCGATGGCGCCTTCTCGGTCTTTGGTGCAGATGACTTCTTCTTCTCCGGCTTTTCTGGTGCTGGCCACTCGACTTCCTTGGATAAGTTGATCCGCTCTGCGGCGATCCATTCATCGAGACGCTTGTTGAACTCTTCATAATGGACGTAGAATTTCGGCTTGCCCTGCCGTGTTTGTATCGAGAGAATCTCAGCTTTGCGCTGCTCTCCATCCTATTCTCTGTCAGTTCGAGCTCATGCACAGTTTTGTTGATGTTCCAGCCACTTTAGGAAGCGGCGCATCCTAAAGTCACACAAACGTACCTTCACAACCCACGCTTTTACGCCAACTCTGCACAAAACTCATCAGTATGCATCTCCAAATAGCGCGCTGTGGAGTCGCACGTACCTCAGCTGTGCAAGAGTGGCGAAGCCAGTTTCCACCGGCACCGGCGTGCCTGAGGGCTCGTGAGACGTCTCTCGGGGCGGCATGACTATGCGCTATCTATCCCTTCGTTTTCGCAAGTTTTGAGTCGCGTTGTGGATGACGAAGTCGTGATGAAGTTGGTGATGCTGCGTGCCTTTGTCGCGATGTCGCCGCCTGTAGATGCGCGCCTCTGCGCGCCTCCCGCCGGCACTTGCGACCGCCGACGTCCGTGCGCCTTCTCGACCTTTTGAACATTTCTTTGCGGGGACCGTTCGGCAGTCCTGCAAACGCAGACTTCGTCACCGACCACTCATACGACGATTTGCAGACCGCCATGCTGCGCAGGTGACAACGATATGGCTCCAATCGAGCTCAGCAATCTCTCATCCAACTGGAAGAAGCTCCAGGCTTCTCTACCATCCTCCAAATCCACCGACCCGCCAAAACACAAGAAGTTCGAGGAAGGGAAACAGAGCATACTTAAGCGCAAAAGGCCTCAGCACACCAATGGAGTGAACGGGCATGTCGCCAAGAGCTCTGTGAACGGCAAGGAAATCAGCGCGCCACGAAAGCCCCCTGCGTCCAGGAAGCGCCAAAAGATGGACGAGCCTGCCTCTGTGGGCGCGTCAGTCAAACAGCATGACACCAAGAATCTCTCTCGAAGCGTCTCGATGCCCTCATTGAAGAAGACAACTATGCTCTCTTCCTCAAAAGACACCGCCGACCCCATTTCCGTCCTCGAACCCCACCCCGACTTTCCCGACATCGAGAACGAAGGCGTCTCCGAGACCGCGCTGCCAGGCAAATATATCGCTGTTGATTGTGAAATGGTCGGCATAGGCCCCGAGCCGAATCGCGACTCTGCCCTGGCTCGGGTCTCGATGGTGAACTTTCATGGCCACCAAGTGTACGATTCCTATGTGCAGATACCACGCAATATCGCAGTCACAGACTACCGAACAGCGGTGTCTGGTATTGAGCCCAAACACTTACAACCAGAGGTCGCGCGACCGTTCGAGGAGGTTCGCGAGGACTTGAAGACCCTACTGGCTGGGCGCATACTGGTTGGACACGCCGTCAAGAATGATCTCGACGTCTTGATCTTGAAGCATGACAAGCGCTTCATACGAGACACGTCGAAGTTTTCCAGGTTCAGAGCGCTAGCTGGAATACCGCCTAGGACACCAGGATTGAAGTTATTGGCCGAGAAACTGCTTGGTGTGGAGATCCAGGTTGGCGCGCATAGCTCTGTCGAGGATGCGAGGGCGACCATGGCGCTCTACAGACTTGAAAAGATGGACTTCGAGAAGGAAATCAGGCAGAAGTATGGGCATATACGGCTCGATACTACAGGACCCGAGGTCGATGCAGGAGGCGGCGAGGACGTCAAGAAGAGGAACCGAAAGAAGTCAAAGAAAAAGAAGAAGCACTAGCGGTCGGTGGCAGGCAGTTGCATGGTTCTATCTTGTTGTTGAGTTGCATTGGCTCGGAGTTTGCATGCATGGTTCGGATACCCCAAAAGTGTGCATACTGGGTCACGATTGTGGTCTTGTTGGCATTGTACATTCCATTTTGAGTCAGTACTGCGATCGGCACACGAAGGTGAACTGTTGTGGGTGCGGAATGAAGGCGCCCTGTGGCGACGTGTGATTATTACCTCCCAAGTCCAGCTCCACAACGGCTTGGATTATACTCTTTGCATGCGTTTCGGCCTCCTGAAGTGATGGTGCCGTGACGATTCCGTTCAGCAATGTTTCTTTCTCATCACAGTAGGAGTTGGAAGACCAGCAGCGGCTCGCGAACGATACTATTAGAAAGAAATAATGCACAATAAAGTCTCGGATGTCCTGTTGCAAGGCTGTGTTACACAAAGTGGGCCGACATGCAGTCTGCTGACGGTGCAGAAAGCTTACATCCGCTCCGTACCTGATAATCCTTGCCTACCTCGGAAATGCTCACTTGCTCCAGATATCACGAAACAACGCAAGCTCACACCACCGACCACGCCTACGATGAATTGCAAATCAGATGCTGAAACGGCCGGAATCGACATACCGGACTCGCTTTCGTCAGAGGCAGCGGACATACAGCTAAACTCCGTGGCACCCCACATCAATCCACAGATGCCCCTCTGCATTCCTAACGCCATTCGATAATCATCGGTGGCTAGCTGGTAATCTCGACCGCGAACAGCAACATGACGGACGAATCTGAATATGGGAAGCTTCAAAGTAGCCGATATGGATACGTCATCAACACGCGAAATGTCCAATGCGTCCTGAAGTATAAGAGCAGGATATCCCCCATGGAGCTTATAAGCCCAGCACGAAATCATACTTCATACTAGCATCTTGAGCTACCACCCGAGCTTCGAATACGTCCAAAATGCCTTCTCCATTCGGTGATCCGCCCAAGGCTAAGTCTCTCCTCGACTTCCAGCGCATCCTCTCCCCCACCGCAGGCATCCGCGTCTCGCCGCTATGTCTGGGTGCCATGAACTTTGGCGATGCGTGGGTTGAGTTGATGGGCAAATGTGACAAGAAGACTGTGTTCGAGATCCTCGACTACTTTTATGAGCAAGGCGGTAACTTTATCGACACGTAGGTCTTTCAGCAAACTTACAGATCGGTTCATTGACGCTGATGTCTGCAGCGCAAACAATTACCAAGGCGAAGAATCCGAGACCTGGATCGGCGAATGGATGGCCGCGCGCAAGAACCGCGACGCCATGGTCATCGCGACAAAATTCACAACGACCTTCCCGAACCCACAGGGCGCAAATGTGCCGCGCCAAAAGGCCAACTTTGCTGGTAACAGCACCAAGTCTCTCCGCACGTCGCTCGAGGCAAGTTTGAAGAAGCTTCAGACGGATTATATCGACCTGTTGTATGTCCATTGGTGGGACTTTACTACCTCGATACCGGAATTGATGCAGAGCCTGAACCAAGTCGTTGCATCCGGCAAGGTGTTGTACTTGGGTGTTAGCGACACTCCAGCGTGGGTCGTTAGCAAGGCCAATGAATGTACGTCTCCATTTCTTTTTTTTATTTCCGTAAAAGGTATTCGCTGACGCTCAT